GGGAGTATCTCATTCATCCCAATAGACTAGCATCCACTGCAAGCAAGGAGATCTCCCTGGCAAGCCCTCTGCAGTGGGTCATCTCACCTGGCTCAGGGTGGGGTAGAGTAGCTAGTGCCACCCTCTGTTGAACGTACTTCTCTCCTACCCCATATTATTCACATCTAGGAATGTTGGAGAGTTCTAATGGAAACGGAAAAAGGATCAGATTTTGCAAGTGTTTGCTCATTTGCCCCACGTCCAGAATGGAAATCAATCCAAGGAATATATGGTTGCTATTTGTTGTTGTTTTCCATCCACAAATGATATGTAACTGTATGCAATTTATGATGTTTTTCCTTCCAATTTGCATTGTGCTTCCCTAGCATTGAAATGAATGGTGTGGAGTAATGTAATGATTATATAATTAATTACATCTCCTTTGTTGCCTTTGCAGACAGCGAGACAAATGTTGTAGATTTATTCAGCAGTCAAACTGCAGCGGAGCAGAAACAGCACTGCATGGGGTAAAGCAGAAATTGATGCCTTCCTGCACCCCTTTTTGCAGTCCATCACTCTCAACTAAAAGTTTATAAAAGTATGCATGGTTAAAAGAAAACAAAATGAAACTGACTGGCAAGTGATTATTTGGGGAGGGCAAAACTAAGTTTAAATTAGCCTGTGGAATTCAAGGCCAAAAGATGTGGTGATGACCACTGGCTTGAAAGCTTTAAAAGAGAAACAGACAAAGGTGAAGATATCCACTAATAGCTATGAGCCATGTTGGTTATTACCTCTCATGCTCTGAAGCAGCACTTAAATGAATCCAGTTAGTGATGGGCAAAGAACAGGTGAAGGTTGTTGCCATTATACCCTTGGCTTTGGGGCTTCCAGGAAACAAGATGCTGAACTGTAGCTCAGTGGCAGAAGGAAAGCACAATGGGAGAACATGTGCTTTGCATTCAGAAGGTCCTGGGTTCAATCTCTTGCATTTCTAAGTGCAACTGCAAAACACTCCTGCCTGCAACCCCAGAGAGTCGCTGCCTGTCAGTGTCAACATTACTGAGATAGATGGACTGTTGACCTGTATAAGGCAGCTGCCTATCACATAAAAATTCTCACTTTGTTAGCCTCTCTATTTGGGGGAAGGTCATAGCTCAGTGGCAGAGCTTCTATTCTGCAAACAGGTGCTCCGAGATTCAATCCCTGGCAACCCCAGGTACAGCTGGCATGAACTCCTCTATGAATCCTTGGGGAGATACTACCAGTCCATGTAGACTATATTGAGCTAGATGTTGTTATTTATTTATTTATTATCTTTTTGTAAACCACTTTAGTCATTTTACAATCAAAATTCTCATGAAATAATAAAATAAAATAAATGGACTGATGAAAGGCTGCTGCCTGAAACCCTGGAGAGCTGCTGCCTGTCAAAATGGAGCTAGAGGGAAGGGAGCCCACAGCTTCTCCTAGATCCATTGAGCATAGGCTGGAATACACATCCAGCATGGTGGCTTAACATTTACAGAGGCTCTTCCTGGCTGCAGGTTCAGGACTACCAGCTTCAAAGTGACATCTGTGCTGCTGACATTCTATATATCCACAAAGGAGAAGGAACTGCTTTACACGGTTTCAGGCTTGATGCTGATCTACTCCAGCCTCTGAAAAAACTTCAGCTCCAGACACTAAACCCCTTGACCAAGCATCTCCTTTTAATTCCTAAATTAAAAACAAATACTCCAATAAATAAAACCAACAGGGAGCTTTTCCCCCTTCACTCCAGAGTGATGATGGGATGTCTTCACTCAGTCCATATTTCATGCAGCTGTGCTTCAGAGAGGATTTTAAAATATACCTAATAGCCCAAAATGGGGGGGGGCACAAAACACACTTAACTGGGAGGTGATTTGATATCACTGGCTGGAGCTGTGCTGATTTATTATTATTATTCTTATTTGTTTGTTTAAACAGGACCAACTTCTGGAGCTGCTGCCAGTCAGTTTGGAGTTGACAATACTGAGCTAGATGGGCCTGTGGTCTGGTTCAGTATAAGGCAGCTTCCTCTGTCTCAGCTAGGCTACTACAGTGATGCTGGGCTATGGTGGTCAGCTGGGCTACATGAGATGCTTGCTATGGAAATCTGCAGAGGTTGTCACATAATCTATCAAATGAATTTAACGGGGCAGCTGCAGCTGTACAGTACCACAGGCCATGCAAGAGAGATAGCATTATAGAGAAATCATCACCTGTGTTACAAATGTGAATTTTACTGTCCCACTATGGTTTCTGCTCATACCAGCTTTTTAGGTTTTTCATGACACCTCAAAAGCAACATGATAAAAAACCAAAACTAGGTGGTAGCCCTGCCACAAAAAAATGTGTGTCAACACCTCTTATTTTGTGTGTGTGTGTGTGTGTGTGTGTGTGTGTATACACAAACTGTTGTAACACCCATGGCATGATTGATGACAACTAATGCACTCATTCCCCTTCACCATCCAGAGCCGTATTTAAAAATTGTGCAGTACAGCCTATATCCAATGATCCACACAATACCCTTTTTAAAAACAAAATTAATTTCTTATTTTTGTTAAATGAATGACTGCCTGATTTCCCAAAGCAATAACTTGCCATTTGAGTTCTAAAAGGTTTCAAAATCCATTTTTTAAACAGTGTGCACCATCATTCCTTAGCAATCACTAATAAAGGGCTGAATCCAACCAGCTTTTACTCAGAGTACACCAACTGAAATTAACAGACCTGAGTTAGTCATGCCTATTAATTTTAATGGATCTACTCTAATATTGGGAGACAACGCATTGTTTCCTTAGGAGTGAAATCAATTGCATGGGATTAGAGGAAGCATGTGCAATTAGGAAACTGGACAATGGGACAAACCCCCTAATACACATAAGAGCCCCCCTCTTTCTGCTGTTCTATGATATTTTGCACAAGTATCACACTACAAATGAGAGATCCAGACCAGAGACATGGGAAGTTGATGCAGTTGCTCGCTTCAGACATAGTTGTATGTACATATTGTAATACTGAGAACTGTCTTGCTGGATTGGATATGGTGGGATAATACTACAGCTTGGTTCAATAGCAATGCATTCAAAATATGAATTACTCAGAGGCCTCTGGCTCTAATCGAGATCAAAGATCCTTGCCAGTAGCACTGCTGCATTTTGTTTTGTTTTGTGGCTTGCAACTGAATATATATATAATAATATATATAAACCGTGTGTGTGTGTGTATATTCCACTAAATTCTAGAAACAATGCTGGATATGAAGCAGCTAATGCAAACAAACAATTTAACAAAACAGAAACGTGTTCCACCCTCCAAGCATCTGGGTGAGGGTTTGCACAGCAGCCAGCCAAGCCAGTTCCAAGGCACATTCCCTAAAGATCTTTACTCCCTTTTGGCTGGCTGGGCTAGGCAGGGCCTGTGCTGCTGTGGCTTAAACAGCAAGCCCTCCCTGTTTTGGTCATCAGATTTCATCCATGTCCTCAAAAATTCAAAGGGAAAAGGCGGGGGAGTGGAAAAGCAGCCACAATCAGTGTTGCCCTAAATATTTTTGATTTCTTAACAATTGCTGTAATTTCTCTAAATATGACCATATGCCTGTAGACCACACAAATATGTTCTCTTTTATGCACATACACATACAAACCCTGCAACAATTCTCTATCTGCAGCCATCGAAATATAGTAAGCTGCCCTGTGCCAAATCAGACACTGGTTTATGTAGGTCTATATCAGGGGTCGGCAACCTAAGGCCCATGGGCCACAAGCGGCCCATGGGGGTCGTTTAACTTGCCCATGGACCTCAACCGCCCTCTCAGTTGGCTCCCGTGCGCCGCATTAAACCGGCACAGAGCAGAGAGGGGACTGCTTCCGCGACGCTGGTCGGCTTCCTATTGGCTGCAGGAAGCTCCTGCAGCCAATGGGAAGCTGCGGATGCCTCCTCCGCGCCAGAAATGGCGTTTGCGCATGCGTGCGTGCACACACACTGCGGCCCACTGTGACGTCTGCAGGACTGTGAATCGGCCCAAGCCACAAAAACTTTGCCGACCCCTGGTCTATATGGTCTATACACAGACTTGGAACCTCTGTGGCCCTCTGAAATTGTCATCTGTTGTTCACTCGCTTTTAAAAGAACATCCAGATGCTGTCTCCAGCAGATCACTGCAGTCCTGTGTCTTCTGTAATAAAATGCAATTGCAGGAGAGTTTTGGTCACTCGTTTGTGTGCGGCTTGGGGGTTCTTTCACACCCAGAGGCTGTTCAACTATTATCCATCAACTTAAATTACTCACAGTGCCCCAAAGTAGCCTAGGTCTGCTGCCCCAGATCTTTGCATGGAACAGGGGTGCCAACTTAAATAAATATTGTGGGGGCCCAGGTAAGCCCTGCCCTGCATAATCGATCGCATGACATTGTGCACACACATACGACAGTCATACCTCGGGTTGAAGTAGCTTCAGGATGAATATTTTCAGGTTGCGCTCCGCGGCGACCCGGAAGTAACGGAGCATGTTACTTCCGGGTTTTGCCGCTCACGCATGCAGACACCCAAAATGACGTCACGCGCATGCGCAGAAACGGCGAAACATGACCCGTGCAGTCACGTCTTACGTTTGCTTCAGGATGCGAACGGGGCTCCAGAACGGATCCTGTTCGTATCCAGAGGTACCACTGTATTTAAATGGGAATGCCCATCAACTTTGTTGGGGCCTGGCCCCCTCGAATATTTTATTGTGAGCGCTGAAGCCCCCATGGCCCCTAAGAGTTGGCTCTTATGGTGTGAAAAATAAGACGGCAGCTCCAAGTTGTCTGTTGCTTTGGGCCCTGGGGGCTTGGCAAGGATGCCAGTTGCTGACCCCACCCCTGCTCAGATTTTTACCCCTAGTAATTACAGATTAGCTTTAGCCTGGCACCAGAGAACTGGCTCTCCCTCCCATTTTCCTCCCCAGTCTTAACTACAGTGGGCCAAGGCAGTCCAGCCATCCAATCTCACTTTGAAATTTGCTAGATTTCTTGGCCTCCGTCCCTCCACATCCTTCCTGTTTCCACTGGGGAAATCTTCTCCTCTGAAAATTTTCCAACCGGCTGTATCTGAAAAGAAGATGGAACCTTTATTAGCCTAGGAAGCATCTAAGCAATTTAACCATGAGTGGGTGCTGATTTGTACCAATTCTACTCCCACTCATCCACTCACCCACCCACCCCCAGCAACCCCTCCTCCCCCAATAGCAACACGAAGTTCCACATTGGCTGCACCAAACAATGGGGCCTTGTGCTTCTCTCTCATCTTGGCTCTCTACCTTGAGTATTGCCATGTGCTTCAGAGCAGATCCCTCCCTTTCTTTATGATGTGGTTTCAGAAATGTCAAGCTGTATTACACTGGCAGAGTGGTTGGGGTTGTGGGGTGCATGTATGAATGGAAGGTACATGTTATGAATAGAAGGTGCTGCAGAAAGGCCAAATGGAACGTATAGTGCATTTCAGGCCATCGCCAATGCTTTCCAAGATTCAGAGAAAGAACATTTTAAGACTAATCTCCACATGTACTGTACTTTGTGGTAAGCACAACATTAAATTACAAGTGAGGAGAGGGGAGAGATAGGAAAAGCTGCAGACACACCATACATTTAAAGCACATGGCTTCCTCCAAAGAATTATGGGAACCGTAGTCTGTTAAGGGTGCTAGGAATTGTAGCTTTGTGAGGGGTAAGCTGCAGTTCCTAGGATTCTCTGAGGAACGTCATGTTGTAGGTCCTTCAATGTGTGTCAACTATGCTTTCAAAGTATGGTGTATACACAGACAGAGAGAGATTGGGAAGCTAAATGGGTTGGTCTATCAGAACTGGCCCCTTCATGGATCACTGCCTTGCCGTGGCGAAGGGGCTTGAAGAACTCAGAGAAGCTATGAACTACGCCGAGTAGGGCACACAAGATGAACGGGTCATAGTGGAGAGTTTTGACCAAACGTGATCCACCTGGAGGAGGAACCGGCAAGCCACTCCAGTATCCTTGCCAAGAAAACTCCATGGACAAAGACAACAGGCATATAAAAGTTATGACGCTGGAAGATGAGCCCCTCAGGTCGGAAGGCGTCCAACATGCTACTGGGGAAGAGCGGAGGGCAAGTACAAGTAGATCCAGAGCTGATGAAGCGGCTGGGCCAAAGCCGAAAGGACACTCAGTTGCGGATATGCCTGGAAGCGAAAGGAAAGTCCAATGCTGTAAAGGAAAATATTGCATAGGAACCTGGAATGTAAGAACCATGAACCTGGGTAAGTTGGAGGTGGTCAAAAATGAGATGCCAAGAATAAATATTGACATCCTGGGCATCAGTGAACTAAAATGGACGGGAATGGGCGAATTCAGCTCGGGTGACCATCACATCTACTACTGTGGGCAAGAAACCCGTAAAAGAAATGGAGTGGCCCTCATAGTCAACAAAAGAGTGGCGAAAGCTGTACTGGGATGCAATCTCAAAAATGATAGAATGATCTCGATACGAATCCAAGGCAGACCTTTTAACATCACAGTAATCCAAGTTTATGCACCAACTACTGGTGCTGAAGAAACTGAAATTGACCAATTCTATGAAGACTTACAACACCTTATAGAAGTGACACCAAAGAAGGATGTTCTTCTCATTATAGGGGATTGGAATGCTAAAGTAGGGAGGCAAGAGATAAAAGCTTTATGGGTCTATTTCACAAGTCCTCATCAAAGCAAATCCTTTCTTATTTAGAACTAACTACTCTTTTATTTTGCCTTGAGGGGAGTTTTAACTGGCCTTTATTACTGTTCCAATTTAATTCCTCTATGTTATTGGAACAATTTCTCCTCAAAGCTTTATTCTATGTATTTTTTTACAATGTTTTTTTGATGTTATTGTTTTTGTGGCACATTTTTGAATTGTCATTATGGAAGAATCAAGCTGTCAGTTTGAGTTTTTCTCAATTTCCCATGTTTCCAGGCTTCAGTTCAACACATTTCTGTATCAGTAGGTGATTTTGGGGGGAAAGTTCTTATGAAAATTAGTCAGTTTTTCTGTGTGTATTTCTCCTACTACAGACATTTTTGCATTCAGTTTTGTCAGGTATAGATCTTTTTGCAAGAAACTTCTAACATAATGCATTTTTGTATGTTAGTAGTAATATTTTACTTACTCTTGTTGTTGTTGTTTTTACATTTATATCCCACCTTTTCCCCAAGAAGCTCAATATAGCGTAGGTGGCTCTCCTCCCTCCACATTTCACCCTCACAACAACCCTGTGAGGTAGGTTAGGCTGAGAGAATATAACCAGCCCAAGATCACCCAGCAAGCTACTTTGTTTGTTTGTTTGTTTGTTTGTTTGTTTGTTTGTTTGTTTGTTTGTTAGATAGATGATAGATAGATAGAGATAGATAGATGATAGATAGATAGATAGATAGATAGATAGATAGATAGATAGATAGATTTACATACCGCCTTCCTGCCAAGGCGATTTACAATTTAAACACTAAAACAAATGCATTATATAAAATGAAGACTGACAGAGTCCTCTTGTGCCAACAGGAAACTGACAGAATACAGGCTCCTTAACTTCTGCCTTCCCTCGGGGCACAGCAGGGAAGGTAGAGTGGGGATTTGAACCCAGGCCTCCCAGGTCCTACTCCAACACTCTTGCCATTACGCCACACTGGCTCTTGATATATTCAGTAACATATGCATTTCTGTGCACTGTTTCTATTTCCGTTAAGATACACATTTTCAGACAAATTTTGGAGGGAAGTGAGAATTAAATATGTTCTCAATAAAATGGGGGGGGGGAACCACCCCAAGACACCATGAGTGTGAATGTGGGAAGGCAGGATACACTGTAATCTGTAAAATAAATAATAATAATAAATAATCATTGGCTCTGGTTTTGAATTCTGATACTTTTTTTTTCTTTTTCCTTTTGCTTTGACACATGCAGAAGAGGCAACCGAGCAAGCCAAGGTAACCAACATGGCATAAAATGTAGCCCTGCAGTTGAAATCTGGAAAGTACCTTTAAAAGCCATCTTAGTCCCTTAAGTGGGGACTAATTATCTCTAAATCATCCCAGACAGACGTTTTCCAGACTTACTCTTGAAAGCTTTTAACAATGTGGACTCAACAAGCTTACTTGGTAATTTATTCCATTGGGCAATTATTCTTATATGCCTCTCTCCCTCTCCCCCCCCCCACCTACACACACACACACACACACACACACACACACACGTACATTTGTTTTTTAAGAGGCCAGCACCTTTTAATCAACTTCATTGGAATATTAATCAAGTAGAACTTTAGCTGATTGCAAATGGAGGTGATTTTGAATTAGCGAGCAATACCAGCTGCTTATATGGAGTGCCAAGTATGCCAAATCCAGATGCTAAATGAAACCTTCAGACTACCACCATTCCACCCCCTTTGGGATGGGCGAATTTGTCAGTTTCTGTTTATTTCAGTTTTTCAGTCTTAACTTCAGTTCAGTTTAGTTCTCAGACCCAGAGAACTTTGCCCACCTCTCTGTCTCAGCCGAACTTTGCCTGCCTCTTTATCTGAGTCCAAGCTCAGAGAACTTTTCCAGCCTTCCTATCCAGATCTGATCTCGGAAACCTTTGCCAGCTGAGGGAAAAAATTAAACAAAACATAGCAAAAGTGCTGGTCTGGATTATATTCACTAACTCTGGACATTTAAAAACTCTGTGCAGGAACTGATACCAGAGCCTGCTGGCTCATGGGATGGAGCCCAGAGTAGCAATTCTGTTGCTTCTGGGTCTGGAAAACAGAACAAAAGCTGTCTATTCACCTAAGGTGTACAAATGGGGGTGGGGTGGGGATGCTGAACCACATGAAAAACAACAAATAAACAAAACAACAACAGAAAAACACAACCTCAAAATGGCCAAACTGGCTTTATTCCAGTCATTTAGCAACACCAATCTAGAGGCAAGTGAACTCCAAACCATACTTATGGGGACACTCAGAAGATGCAGAGGTCTTAGCGTGCATCGGTCCATGCTGGCACCCCAGTAGGCTCAACATCTTCCTTTACTGCTGAACAAGCTTTTTTGCCACCTCTCTAAGGAGCTAATAATACAGAAGGGAAAGTCTGCCTCTGGGTGGCTCTGCTGAGATGAGCAGCACTCATAACATTAACTCTCCAGATACTCTTTCTGCCCTTCTGTTTCACATTCTTTTCATGACTTCAAGTTCACCTTGGCTGGCTCAGTTCTGTCCTGCTCCCTCCATCAAGGAGAAACCCATCAGCTCTCAGGCCAGTTGCCAACTGTGTCTCGGCCTCAGACTGAAGGGTCCCATTTCTTCAAACAGGAAGTCCCTTTCCCTCCCTCCCACGCCTTCTTCCAAGCTCTTGGATAGGTGAACGGCTCCTTCTGCCCAACACTTCCTTTTACTACCCCAAATACAGGAAACCACAACCGCAGCTCTCTTGAAAAACCTTCCCTCGTGGTGTCCCTTCCCCTCCCACACCTCTCTGTGGGGAGACCACCAGTACCGAGCGATTAAAATGGCTGTTGTTTCTTCCATTACTCAGCTTTCCTGAATTATTGGGTGTAAGATTCAGGGAGTGGGAATAATTATGGGCTGGGGGGGTGAGCGGTGGTGGTGGAGGAGAACAATGGCAGGCTTGAAGGCTTAACGGTGCTTGTGTGGTTCTTTCTAACAAGGTCGGCCTGTAGTCATATTTCCCAGAGTCTTCATTTCTCCCCACCCGCCCACCCCACTGAAACCTCGCATAGCTTTTTGCCAATAGACATTTCAGCACAGGGCAACGAGCCCATTTGCAGCACCCTCAGTCCAAAGACTTAAGTTTTTAATCTGTTAGTCACCCAAACTTTATTTAACCCTGCGTTCTCACAAGCAGCATTTCATCAGTGAAAGGAGAGGTGGGGTGTAGGGGTTTCAGCCAATCCAGGATTCATAATGAGCTGGTTTGCACATAACATTAAGCCGTAGACTATTTTAAACCAGGGGTAGGGAACCTCAGGCATAGGGGCCAAATACAGCCCTCCAGGCGTCTCTGGCCACTTGGGACTCTCCTCAGCCACAGCCTCTTTCCCCA